TGGAAGAGGATCATGGACCAATATTTGCCAAGATTGAAAGCACGTGCTTGAAGATCCGACAAGACATGGAGAATACACACAACAGGAAGCGAGGAAAGTTGGTGAGGTAACAATGCCAAAATGCAGAACGAGAACAGGACAACTATGAAGCCACCAACGTTATCAATATGAGTTCCCGCCCGCTGACGGACATGTAGACATGCAGAGGAATCTTCGTTGAGGAAAGGTCTAAACGTCACCATTGCACCAACATCTATGCCCACTTTGGAAATAATAACTGCAGTAGAATCCACCGGTTCCCTTATGGATCAGATCAAGGCAGAATAATTCAGATGGAAAATCAGAGAACAGCTAGATCGAGAACCAACTGAAGGACGAATTCATTACGCAAGATGAGGGACTGCCAATGGGATCGCCACTTTCACCGGTTATAGCTAATATAATGGAGTGGTTTGAAACTTTGGCCATTGAGGAAGCCCACAAGAAACCCCGGGTCTGGTTGAGATACGTAGGTGACACCTTCATAATATGGAACCATGGGAATGCAGAACTAGACACTTTCCTGAAGCACATCAACAACGTGAGTCCTTTCATCACTTTCACAATGGAGAAGAAAGTCCACAACGAATTGACTTTCTTAGACGTATTGGTGAAAGGGACCGACACTAAATGGAAAACATATATATATCGAAAACCCACTCATACAGGACAGTAACTAAACCAGAAATCCAACCACCATCAATCGACTAAAAGAGGAATCATCAAGACTCTACTAGACCGTGTTTTCGGACTCTGTAATACAATGAAACGTTTCGAAAAGGAACTAGGCATCATCAAAAATGACCTTCAACGGAATGGTTAGTAAAGCGTGATGGTAGAACAGGCTTTAGCTAGAAAACAGCTAGAGCTCCACAAGGAAGAGAAGCCGCCACAACCAGTACTTGTACTTGCCTACATCAGATGATTATCGGAAAGGATAAGAAGGATTGGGTCCAAGTTTTACATCAGGACCTGCTTCAGATCTGGGAACACTATCCGTAGCAGCCTCACGAAAACCAGACCACCAAACGCGGACTGCGATTCCAAGAATAGCATTTACCGGATACCCTGCGAGTGCGGAGAATCTGAAACTAACTGTGTACCACTCTAGTCAACAACATTATAATGAAATATCAACAAAAATCAATAATGAATGAACTATATTCAATTTCCACAAGACCAGAACACAAATATGTTAGTATCAATTATGCCGGTAGAATCTCCGAGAATATTAAAAATCATCTCTCAAAATTCAATTTACAAACATCCGACACATCCAACGGAAATTTAGGAAACAGATTATTTAATGCCAAACCTGAATGAAACAAAGGGAAGGGATCTGGTATATATCTACTAGAATGTGGTGAATGCTCCGCCATATATACAGGCCAAACTGGTACATAAGGGGTGATTTGTAATTATATTTATGCCTAGTTGAGTAATTATGGTTTTACATTATCAACTCAGATCTGTATATGAATTATCTCAGATTTGCTTGTATGTAATATAATTGTCTAACATCATTAACACCAGTACGAACATCTTCAAAATTCGATACAAAAAATAGATAAAGATAATTTAAAGATCCTTCACACATGCGAAAAAGGGAAAATGATGAATCTGTTGGAATCTATGGAAATAAACAAGTCAAAGAAAACTCCCAATTCTATTGTCTTCAACGGATAACTTGATCTAAATAATAGTCCTCTCCTGAATCTATAATCCAGTTCCCAAAACCTACCTTATATCAAAAGCTTTGTTTTGTTATGTTCATGGATATTACAGGTATACAAAATGTAGGTACCAAATTATTTATGATAGTATAGGTAACTTAGGTTTAAATTACTCAGATTTAAATGTAATCAGTTAGTTTTGAAAATGGTATAAGAGCCGAAACCGGTCAACAATAAAAAAATATAGTGGAAAATAGACAAAAGTGTGTTTTTGTAGTGTATCCTCAGTGAACATGAATTTCCACAAAATAAGCAAGTCGTCAATCAAAGAAGTGAAAACAGATTGAGATATTATCTACATTCCCTCACAACTAGAGAAATTTTTAATCATGATTTTTGGCAGTATATCTGTACCAGTATGAAAAAATTTTAATTGGACTATTGGTATTGATTTTATTCTCCATTTTGTCCACAAAAATTTCAGCTAGCAAAAGACTCAAATGGTTTCCCATTATTAGGCCCTTGCTTCAAGACTAAAAATTGTCATTGAATTGGAAACAATTTCGAGATAGGGAATTCATTAGCAAATTTGAAGTATCCTGTTCAATCATCAGATAAATCTAGTTTCTGTCTAACAGGCGTTCCCCCAATAGAAACAATTGAGCTTGTGACATATACAGGGTGTTTCCTAACTACGGTACGAAACTTCACAAAGTGATTTGTTGAGTCGTTTTGAGGAAACAAGTTCCTATAAACATATGTCTGAAGTTGCTTCGTTTCTGAGATACAGTTTGTTGAAGTTAAAACAAAAACGCTATTTATGAAATATCATGAATATCATTACATTGATTTGGTTGGAATTTGCTACAGTTATTTCAAATGATAAGGCGTTTATTCAATCCTAAGTATATTGAAATTTAAAGACCAGCTGACAGTAATAGTGTTGTCATAGCAGTGAAAGTCAGAGTTGTCAATTAGCAGTGACCTAACGAATCACCCTCTGAAGTTTCGTACCGTATTTAGAAAACACCTTGTATATGAAACCTGATCATGTTTTGTGAGCAGTATTCATTATGCACAGGCAACATACACTTACATAATACAGCCAAATTACTACACAGCTCATACATTAAACACAAGTTTGCAAACAGACAAACGGGGATGTCATAACCGTCATTAAATCATATAAAGTAAACTATTTTGTAATGAATTTACGACCGAGGTCACTTTTAGAGGCCAAGTTTTAGAAATCCTAGCGCCTGTTTATAGTTTCATTTGATTGAATGTTTCCCAAACTTCGCAACACGAATTTTAATAGACTGACACCCGTTTGGGATCCAGGGCCGTATTGATGAATATTAATTGCTAAATATCGATTCGAAAATATAATAATTCGTCCTCCCACAATGTGAATATTTGAATTGATATTTTATTGATTTTCTACAGAAATTTTGAGAAAATTTGAAATGTCAAATAACTCTTGTTTTCATCGTGTATTATTTATCACCAGGAAAATAAGACGAAAATAAGAAATGGGTATTTCTGGTAAATGAAACGTGAAGTGTAAATATTTAATACCTTGAAGCTGTTGGATTCCATCCAAAAAAGAGCCATTACGAGTGTAATTCTTTGAAGCGACTTTTTCTCTGTTCATAATAGTTGGCCTGAATGATGGATTTTTTTTTGGGAAAGTTTTCATTTGTTACTATTTGCTACTTTTTCGAATCTTTTTGGTAGTTTTCCATTTTTCAACTGAGTTGAAAACCAAAACACTGCATTTCCCTCGATAATCTCTGAACAAGGTAAAGAAGATGAAACCTGATTCAACATAATGAAATGTTAAGAACAGTATAGTTGGAAGTATTGACATATAGCTCCCATTATCATAAAAAAGTCAAAAGTGTATATATTTGTTAAAGAATCGATGGAAAGTTCCAAATTATAATATTGATGTCAAGTGAATTTGTGAACCTGAATGGTGTTTTGCATATCATGTTAATTAACTTTAATTAAAACAATAAAATCAAAACGCAACTATGAATAGTTTGGAGGCCATGTTCTCAAAATGATCATCGGGACAATTTTCACTTCAATGCAGAATAATAAAACTTGAGGCGTCTAGCTGTAAATATTTTTTTAGTGAGAGTGATATAGCATGAATATAACCGAAGTAAAATGAACCATTATTTTCACGACACGTGTTTCTATCACCTAGTGATCATCTTCAAATGAAGAATAATCTTCAGTAGGGGTAGCGCCTCTACAGAACACCCCCACTCCTCCACTTTTGCCGTCATTCAGTCAACCAATCAGAAGCTACCGCGCGTACAGCGGGAAATTCAAACCAGTAGATGAGCAAGCTTGGTCCGAGCGCATTTCAAGGTCGCGCGTCGTTGGTAAGTGTTTCAGAGAGAGGATTCAGTGATTGAAAAAGAGAAACGAGTGACTTAATCGTTGCAGAGGATAATGGAATGAGTATCGGAAAGGTTCAAAGAGCGTGGCCTCCCTTGGGACTCCGCCTCACCCCTCAGGACCCCTTGTCACGTAGCGATCGGCAGCTAAGTGAAACTAAATTGAAAAAGTTTATTGGTATGAGAATCGAACCCAGGTCGTCCGCGTTATAGACGTTGTCCTTAGCCTCGACAGCAACGTGGAATATTGGAAGTAATTGCGAATTCTTGATTTGCTGACGTCATTTCCATGTAGAATATAGGGAAATATCCTTAGATTTGGGGAAGAATTGATATAAAAAGATATGTGTGTAAGAGTGGGAGAGAATTTCCCGCTACGCGCGCGGTAGCTTCTGATTGATTGACTAAATGACGGCAGAAGTGGAGGAGTGGGGGTGTTCTGTAGAGGCGCTATCCCTACTTTCTGCCTCACGAACTATTCGAACAATAGACATCATTTAGAAAATTTCTAAATCATAAATCACAAGTCAGCAGAAATCCGCAACCATAAATAGTCTTCCTGAAATAAACTACTCAAAATGAATATGAAATGAATATAGACCAGTTCAAAATCAAGAGATCAAGAAGTATCTTCAAGCATAACAAAATTGAGACGGACGAGGCCGGGGCACAGAAAAACTTCAGAAAACTCGCTTTCCTCATCTTCCAAAGAAAAAGATGGCTACAAAGTGGTATGCTATTACACTAATTGGTCCCAGTACAGGGTCAAAGTGGGTAAATTTACTCCTGAAGATATTTTGCCTGATTTGTGCACTCATATTATTTTCGCATTCGGCTGGTTGAAGAAAGGAAAACTATCTTCATTCGAAAGCAATGACGAGACCAAAGACGGTAAAGTGGGTTTGTATGAAAGGATTCAGAAACTGAAGAAAGCTAATCCGAAATTGAAGACGCTTTTAGCTATAGGTGAGTGTATGCGATAATTAGTTTATATTAGTTGTTTCAAGAATTTTGTCCATTTTGATGTCATGTGTTTCCTTTGCTCCATATCACAATGAATATTCATTCTACTGGTCGTATATACTGATCGATAGAGAAATTTGAACTTTATGAATTGATGCTGTTAGATTTTTCTTGAATAACGAAACAAACATCAAAAAAACATCTTGTTTCGATTTGAAGATTATTTCACTTCACATTAAATATGATAATCAAAAACCGACAGTTTTTCCTAATGTAGAACAGTAATTTCAAATCAAAATAAAAATGTATGAAGCTGTGTGAAATATTTTGAACAGGAAGAATCGCGATTTCTTTATTGAAAAATATCGTCGAATTTCAGGTGGTTGGTCCTTCGGTACACAAAAATTCAAGGATATGTCAGCCACTAGGTATGCCCGACAGACGTTCATCTATAGTGCTATCCCATTCTTGAGACAGAGAGGATTCGACGGTCTAGATATGGATTGGGAGTATCCCAAAGGATCTGCTGACAAGAAAAATTATGTCCTGCTTCTCAAAGGTGAGTTGCTTTTTGCACTGAATTCTCTATAGAACTGAATTTTATAACCTAATAGTTGTTGAGATACGTCTGAATCAAGCAATTCCTAATCTATTTTACATCTACATGATGATATTTTAATCGGAATAAGTCAAAAAAGTATTGTCATCGTCTTACACGTTTCAAGCATTTTATTTTCGGAGACACGCCTTCTATTTTCTACGATGGAAACCCCATTATCCGCCTCTGCCTATCCATTATAATTTAAATTGCATACAATGGCGAATTGAATACTCTTAATGCTTAGCAATTTCCCCAACACGCTTTCTTCGACCTCAATCGTGGTTTTGAAATTGTTGGCTGATTGTTTATATTATTAAAAAATAGCGCGAATAATTTTCCCATGAAAATTCAACCATTATAACTAATTCTACTATTTTTTTGAGCTTTGGTATTTATGAGTCCGTTTTAACCTAGTAGAATTTTCATGCTCCAAGAAGAATATATTCATTTTACAGTCAATGATAATGATATTTAAGTTTACAAAAAAGTGATATCAGGTATGCCACACAGAGATTAATATACATACATAAAAAATATAAGAGTTCAAAATCAGAGCACAGATACATAGATAGCATTCATGTCATCAAATGTTGAATCAAATATTCTGTCGTACTTTGGAATTAAGGCAGGTCATTCAGAGATCCTCCAGAGTTATCTGTGCTGATAATCCGAACAATTTCCCTCAGCAGACTCGTTAGATTTCCGAACCCAGTTACTCTAACGCATGGTCTATTGATTTTCAACCTTGCGTGTTTAGGTGTTCGCCTCAGTAAACTATAATATGAACTACGGCTCATCTTTTTCATCGCTCCGTGCTCTCACAGATCGGGAGTTGTACATTGACGTACTGCCAATTATGGCCTGTGATCTACCAATTTGGCAGGTCCTTCCTATATCTTTCACGTCTCTGGCTGCTGGTGAACTATCTCAAAAGATGTAAGTGGCAGTCAAATACTCTTACACTAGTCGATGTATTGCAGTAAACAGTTCTTAAGGCCTGTGAGGTTCTATTAAGAATTGACTACACTCGTATCTCTTCCAATCTCATTATTTTTACATTGGCGCCTAGGTTTCTATTGGAAAACAATATTGAAATTTTTCGTTAAGATCAGAACCATCAAAGCTAACTTGTTCTGTTGTATGTTGGCTAAATACTACTCTACTTCTTCTGTTCATACTTGTGATCTATGTGAACCGCTAAAGCCCACAATGTTCTATTGTAGGTTGGCTCAAGCCCATGAGAACACTGCTGAAGCTTACAATGTTCTATTGTAGTTTGGCTAAAATCCATGATAACACTGCTATAGCCTTCAATGTTCTATTGTAGGTTGGCTTGATTCCCACTTGTGCTATTGTAGGTTGACTTTCACTTCCCTTATCACAAATCAGAGGGGTTGTCTGTAAAATTCTCCTTCTGTTCATACTTGTGGTCTATTGCTTTTTCATTTCAACCAGGAAGGAAATATCCGCATTCATGGAGCCCTTTCCAGAGATTCAAGACTAAGTACTTCGGGAAGTCTGTTGCCAACACCTGAAGAAGCTCATGTAGCGTTCATTCTCCGCCACGTTTGCATAATAACACTGCTACAATGCCTACAATGTTCCATTGTAGATTGGCTTCAGGCCCACTTGTTCTATTGTAGGTTGACTTACACTTCTCTCATCAAAAATCAGAGGAGTCTGTAGAATTCTCCTTCTGTTCATACTTGTGGTTGTGCTTTTTGGTTTATGGACCCCTTTCCAGAGATGCAAGACAAAGTACTTTGGGAGATCTGTTGGCAACACATGATAAGGTCCAGGTAGCGTTTATCCTTTGCCACGATTGCATAATAACACTGGTTTGAGTCCCCATCAATAGATACGAAACACCGAAAACAAACTCCAATTGTACATTGACATGTCCACCTCTTTCTAGTTATTTCACAGTTTAGATAAGATTCAGATTACTTTCAACGGATGTAAATATGCCATATAATGCATAGCCTTATAAATATCCAGTTTGAATTATCCATCTGAATATCTCATTTTGCAGAATTGAGAGAAGCATTCGAAGCAGAATCCCAAGAAATAAAAAAGAATCGTCTCCTTCTAACCGCGGCAGTCCCAGTGGGTCCAGACAACATCAAGGGGGGATACGACGTTCCAGCAGTAGCTTCTTACTTAGATTTCATCAACCTGATGGCCTACGACTTCCACGGCAAATGGGAGCGAGAAACAGGACACAACGCTCCACTATACTCCCCAAGTAGCGACAGTCAGTATCAGAAACAACTCAACGTAGACCACGCAGCAGGTCTTTGGGTGAAACTCGGAGCACCCAAAGAGAAGATGATCATCGGTACTGCGACATATGGAAGATCTTGGACTTTGGCAGATCCAAGCAAGCACGGTGTACATGCTGCGGCTAGTGGGGGTGGTAAGGAAGGAACGTATTCGAAGGAGGGAGGATTCTTGACGTACTATGAAGTGAGTGGTGGTTTTGTCTTTGAGTTTTGGTTTGTGATGGATTAGTCGATACAGTCCTATTGAGAGATTCCTACATTCCATAAAACTGAAGAGTTGATTTCTTTGCAAACCAAAATGAGTCTGGTGACTGTGTTGAAGAAAAATTATTCAAAATAGCAATTGATGAACATTCATTCCTCCCGACGTTTCTAAACAGTAGGATCTAAAGAAACAATTACTTTTCAACAGGTACCACGATGGGCATCGAATTACATCCGACAAACATCACAAGTAACCTCACAGAGGTTATCTTTGAAGATGTTTCCCGTCCATACACCAGCAGGATCACGCTGAAATTGATCTAGTAGATAACCCGGTGCATTACCTCTGTTAGTACAGAAAATATCCAACCCAAAAAGGAAACCTTACTGAGTAGGAACGTTGGTAATGGTGAACGTTTCATTTATTGAACGTTTTCATTTATTGAATTCTTTCTCGACACATTCATCAGGTTAATTTTAGTTTCTGTTACTGTTGGAACGTATCACGTTTGTTTTTGACTCTTGAGGCTTTGTTTACAAGATGTTCGAGCTGTTCACGAAATGAAGTTGTTTCTTTTTGAACCTCAATGCAACTGGTATGTTGAGTTTACCGCGTACTTCTGACAGATACCGAATTCGGGAGAATCAAACTTGCTGAGTCAATATCATCAAAATAGCTTGTAATAGTTAGGTTTCTGATCAGTCTCACATCAGGAGCTTCAGAGTTTCTATGCTTGGAAGCAGAGCTTCCAAGCACAGAGAGCTCCGTGCATAGAGATCTCCATGCATAGAGTCCGTGCATAGAGTCCATGCTCCATCCAAAGAGAGCTCCATGCATAAAGTCTCTATGCTTGGAAGCTCCGCTTCGGAGCGGAGCGGCATAGAGCGAAGCTTCCAAGCATAAAGACTCAAGATATTGAAGCATTCCTTGCATTCAAAAATTGTGGATTTACAGCTTTTTTTATCATCTTTGATATCATTAATGATAACACAACTAATATTTAGTAATGTAAGATGTTTTGCTCTTTTGGGTATGGGAAGAGCTTGGACGATCTTCTCTTTTTTATGAGAAACAGTATCCTACTTAGTTGAATAACTTTTTTCGAGATTTTTCGAGATCAATTGCCCTAACACCAAACTGATATTTTTTCACTATACGCATTCAATTCACCAAGCTTGGCATGGATCAAAATAGTTTTCAATATAATGGCTCATATTATGAACAACGTGAAGGAACGGCTATGGGTAACCCATTTTCTCCATTTATAGCGAACCTATTCATGGGTAGGTTTGAGACGGAAGCTGGGAAAGAACTCAGTTACTTCCCTAGGGTCTGGATCAGGTACGTTGATGACATATTCGCTGTAGTGGATACAAGGATAACCAGAATCGAGAATGTCCTTTCAATAGACAAGGACCACAGAATTGGTGAAAACAATCTGAAACTGATTGAGCATGTGCATGACACCAGGCTACTCGATGCATGTGAGAGTCTAGAAATAGCAAAATGTAAGAACAACATGAAAGGCGATAAGGGACCCATCCCGTTTAGCCCGCTTTTAAATCTTCTGTTAGGAAGAGAATAATTACTAAGAATTTGCAGGTAGTTAATTACCGACAAATTCCATATTATATAAGGATTAACCAGACTAGACTAGGTATCAATTTTCTCCTCCTGAGGATGCTAACTTTGTTGATGAAACGCGCGTCGAGTGTAAAAATATCAGTTTGGTGTTAGGGCAATTGATCTTGAAAAAAGTTATTCAACTTTCACACCAAAGGTTCCAATCTCATCGTTATCCTACTTAGTGTACGTTTATTGGGGAATTTTTGAATATTTTGTTCATGTTAGTAAAGGAAAGCTGTGATCTCTTCGACAGACATTTCTGAAAATAAAAGGTGTTATTTGTACAATTATGCAAAATTTTTGCAAAGTGGAAAAAGTCAAAGTGATGAATCTATCATCTTATATTGTCATCAGCAAGAACTCCAACTTCCAAGGTTGCCACATGTATTATTTTTCACTCTCAGAGTTCAGATTCAAGCTAGTGGAATCTGCAAAAAAAGTCCTGTTTATTCGATTATAAAATTGAGTACCAATATTTAATACGTCCTTGATTTTAGGTGTGCGAGATGCTCCAAAATGGTGCAACCTACTACTGGGATGACGAGATGAAAGCACCATATTGCGTTCAAGGTGACCAGTGGGTGGGATTCGATGACGAAAAATCTATCAGGCACAAGATGAAATGGCTGAAAGAGAGTGGCTATGGTGGAGCCATGGTATGGACTGTAGACATGGATGACTTCACTGGAACTATCTGTGGGGGAGAAGTCAAATATCCTCTTATTGGAGCTATACGGTGAGGAATTACACTGCATTCTACTACTATATTCCATAAGCCCATGTCCACTGGAAAACCTGCTTACGTATTTACTAAATTGTCCTTCAGAACTGATATACATAATCTGGATTTGGGATTCGAACATCTTTTGACTTCACCTGAACATGAAACCTCTCCTTCGAAGCGTTCTTTTACACGCTTCATATTAACTTCACCTGTATGTATGTATGTTTATTTGTATGTATGTTTATTTGTATGTATGTTTGTTTGTTTGTATCTCTCAAGCTCGAGATCTGTATTGACAAAATTATCGGCATTATTGCTTGATCTACTCGCGGGCAGATGGCGCTGTACGCAATCTCCTTGATATTTCTTGATCTATTCGCGGACAGATGACGCTGTACGTAACTCCTTGATATTTCTTGATTTATTAGCAGGCAGATGGCGCTGCACATAACCTCCTTGATAGGTTGTTCAAAAGAAAATAAAAATAAAAAACATATTTTAAGAATTATAAGTGTTAGCGAAATTTTGTACTGCAGATGAAATATTTTCAATTACCTGTGATTGAGTACAGAAAAAGTTTTGAACGAGACAAACAAAGGAACA